ATTGAAATCTCACTCCTTTAGAATAGGGGGTGCCACAATATTTATATTCTATAGGGTGTCTCTGAGCAGAGAATTAAAGGAAATAGGCAGAGGAAATCACCTTGCTTTTAAAGGCTATATTCGCCCTTAATCTGTATGGTGCCCATTGGAAATTGGAAGCAATTTTAAGTTATTTGACAAAACAAAAAAGTAAAAGATCATATAAGAATATAATGATGATATATACTTTAAACTTATTATTACTATCTTGAAATACTTAAAGTTTAACCTAAATGTTTCTTTATTAGGAAAAAGTAACCACACATTGTGCTGGATTATTGGTTCATCTATTAAAGGTTGATGCCTTCTATCATTGACCAAACAAAGGTATGGGAAGGACCTTTTCTCGGATGCGCGAATTAGAAAATACAATTATTACCTGGAAATTTAAGCCCCCCATGGTTTGCTGACTGAAGGCCTACTTCACGATGTTTAATACAATGTTGAAAATCGTAATAAAATTATCCGTTTGCCATAAATTATACATTGTGGAGGCCAATAATATTGGGAAAACCCCTTTAGTACTATTGTAAATGGCTGCTTACAAATAATTTTGCGCCACTGTATTATCTAGTATTCCTGGAGTACGTATTGTCTGGTGCCGGGGTTCTTCCAAGATTATATTATAGAGGAGAAAATAACCACAAAAAGTTGGATAAGGCTAAATTCTGTATTACAAACGGTGGTGGATATATTAGGTATCCAGATATTCGAGAGTCTCAGGAATTCTTTAGAGACAATGTTCATTTATCTGCTAAGGGTCTTGACATTATGGTTGACACTCTCAGGAATGGGATTTACAATATCATTTTTACAGGCAGTAACTGTTTTCCGTAGCATATTTAAATCCGGCTGACAGTGACAGCTTCCGAATCATCACCCCCCATACGGTTAGTTCTTATGGCGGGGCTTGCTCTTTGTTGGCTACTTTCCAGCCAAATGAGCTGCGCCTTTGGCTTAATGTCGATTCGTACTGTCACTTATAACATTACATTATGTTTATGTATAACACATTTCATATATATTTCAAACAATCGCAGGGTAAATATTAAGCTTTATCATCATTGATGAATTTTAAATACATTAATGCAGTGTAATTTTAATTACTTCCGATATTCCGGTGTTCTGCATCCGATTTTCCGGAGTAATATTACAAGCTTCCGATAGTCCGGAGCCAGTTCTTCTCCCGATTTTCCGGAGTAATGTGATCGCCATATAGCCTTTCTTATAAGGAAGCGCGATTCACATCTTATGTTTAGCTCACGATGTTCCGGAGCTACTCTACTGTCTAAAGTTCTAAACGTACTTCCGATTGATCCGGAGTTACTACTTTACGACTACACTGCAGTTTCTGAAATCTAAGTTTAAATAGTTTCCGATATTTGAATCTTACATACACTGCGATTGTATTTTTAGTATCATGTTTTAGAATTTATGTCAGCCATGGCCATATCTTGCCAATATATCATTAAACATAAATAAGTTAAACATCTTTGTTTTTTGTCCCTCTTGTGATAAACAATTCCAAGTTAATGTCAACAGGTGGACATTTTGTAGTTTCGGTTTGGTTTTGGCGAAATTGACCTGACATATGACCTTTTGCCGGTAATTATCAGATTCCGAAGTAAATGTTGTGGAAATAACACGTTTCTTCAACGATATTAAGTTTCAATTTGGAGGTTGTGGTTCGAGCCTTAATGAACTATTATTTTTATACTTTAAAAAAGAGTTTACTTTTAGTTACCTTAACTATGTTTTGTGCAAACCACCTATTGTACGACTCTACATATTGCAATTATGGAAAAATACACGTAGATGTATATATCAAAGTTATGAAATTAAAAAAGGCACCAAAAATAAGCAATTAAAAAATGATTCATCCACTAATGCTGCATATATTTTTTTTTTTAAAGTTAAAGAAATCTGAAAAAAAAAGTTTTTGGAGCATTCGAACAGGCCACTCCGCGACTGGTATGCAATCGTGTGTACTGTTTTCCTTTTTATCTATACATTTACGTAATCTAGGTGGACTTTTACTCGATGGAATAAACAACTCACAGCATTAATTTACTATTTGTTTACATGTTTAGCTTCGTTTAGAAAATGACAACTGAACACAAAAATGCAATATGCGAGAACGCTTGTATTTAGGGACAACTACATTCAGTATTCAAGATAATTTAATACAACTATGACATAAAGCAAAAATATTATTATTAAAAAATTTATATTTGTCTCATAAATATTTTGCAAAAACGTGGTCGACTCGGTCAGGAAAAAAATTGAGAACTCTTTTAAATTTTTCAATTTAATTTTTGTGTTATATAAGGGATATATTTATTTTTTATCTATTCACTTTTTTTAAACCTGTGCCCACTTGCCATCACAGAAAAGTGACTGCCATGTATATAAACAAGCAAGCAAACAAACAAACAAAAAAAAACGCAAATCTTCAACAAATCTACAAATCTTTACAAATTTTATGTATCACAAAATAATTTTGACATTGAATTTGAATTTAAAAGAGTTTGTCCCGAAGAATGGTTCGATATTTTCAAATTTGAATACATCTCGAATCATTCGAGTGAACAATGAATATATAAAACCCGACTTTGTATCAAAAACCCTAGTACAAATGTACTCATCTATACGTTGTAACGATGAGTACCATATTTTGTGTTGAGGTCCATATCCGCAGTTTGACGGAAAGGGCCGAAAAGATGCGAGTGGCTATTCGCAACCATTTTCATGACAGGTACAGTTTATTTTACACTAAGAAATAACGTACATGTAGCAAGAGTAGAACATGGTTAACCATGGTCGAGTATCTTTTTAAAAAATGACACTTCTTGTAGCATCTCCAGTGACCATGACCTTATTTCGTGGTGAAAATATATATTAGACTAAATGGTCCGTACATGCATTTTCATATTTTAATCTCGCATTTGACCACCACGTAAATTTCGTAAGCCAGTAAAAGGAGTGAACAGAGAAAAGAAAGAGAGTGGAATATCCAAAACCGCAAAATTGAAAATGTTACAACCTAAGACTTAGTTTGATTGAGTTTGTTTATGGACGATACTGTAATGTCACGCTACCGGTCAAGCCCCAAGCACCGGCTTAAGCAGAATTTAACATATACATGAAATTGTGAAAAGATGGATTCTGAAACATCTGCACATGTATTCATACGGCGGTCATCGTGGAACCTTTAGTTTGACAGTTATGTTTATTCGTTATGTTTCTCTCACTTGGCTAAAACAACTTATATGTTGTTAAAATAATAATGGAGAACCTACAGTCTAATCACTTATAAGAACTTGTATATAGAATATTAAATTGGCGGGGAGGAGGCTTTCAAGCTATTGTAACTTGTTCAAAATATTGCAAATAGACTTAATTATTGTCATCGAAAGGATTTTTCTCGATGCCGGATAAAAAACTGGAGTGAAAATGAATTCTATAAGACTCGTCTTTCGTTCTCATCCTTTTCTATTACGTAAAAATATTAACTTGATTTTTGTATGTACATTATGTATTCTTTCGGGAATAAATATGTTTAAACCAAACCAGAGTTATAACATAAGCTTATGTGTAAAGAACTGCTCACATATTATAATATTGTTTTAGATCGGGCTTTTTACCCGAGTAAAGAACTTGTTTATTTAGATCAAGCGACAAAAAACATTTGAACAATTACAGAGAAGTAACTCTTATAAGTGACTTTGGCTATTACACCAAGCGTACGTAAACTTAAACTTTCTTACGTCAGATTAGTCTCTTAAGTTTAAAATATAATAACATGTGTATAAAGCTGCTCTGAATGTCACCCCAGTGTTGTATTTTTAGTTCTTCGAAATCTTTGAATTCTAATAATTTTAGCCTTGAAAATTGAATCCTGCATAAGGCCATGCAATGGAGCCTGACATATGTTGCACGTTCTGTTATCTCTCATAATCAGGCTTTATTCAACCAACTTTGCCATTTTCAGGGGCGTTCATAAAGGGCGGGGCATGGAGAGGGAATGTTCTTTGTTACAAACACTTCCAACAAAGAGTTCAGACCGGATACTATAATGGCTCGTGCTGACATCGAGTCATCTCCGTAAACATTGGAAATTGAAAATACACAACATTCTAACAAGCTTCAAATTGTTCCCTATTCAAACAGATAGGAATGTCGAGTTTATGAAAAGGAGTGGTTACACGTTGTATAACGTCAGATATTACGTCAATAAACCAAATTACATTTTCTACCAATTCTTTTTTATATAAGCTCTATTGTTAGAATGGAAATAGATATTTATTTGCGTTGTAGTAAAATAATGCACGGCTTATCTTAAGGATGCTTTGTAATAAATAAATAAATAAATAAATAAATAAATAAATCAATCAATCAATCAATCAATCAATCAGGCCTAATGACCTTCTTGATTATATTCCTGCACATTACAACCTGAACTGTGCATTATTCTACAACAATGCACTCAAAAGTGATAACTATTTCCTAAATATAAAATAACAACAACAACAACAATCCTAAATATTAAATAACAACAACAACAGCAACAATAATAATATAATAACATAATGTATATATAATAGCTAAAATGTGTTTTCATGGCACATGAACCGTTTATTGTAAATCATCAAATTGTAAAAGTGTTGTTTTTTTTCCTGCTTTATCATACGAGTCATTTATATAAATTGTCAATGAAATAAGTTAAATGTACAAAATAACGTTTTCTGAATGCCACAAGAATTATTTATGTAAATTCAAGTGAAATATCTGCTCACTATAGGCATATTACATCTGATAACATTTCAAAAGGTCAATGTTTTATACATGATAATAGTATATGATGAAAGTATCCACCGATTGTCATCCTAACAAGTAATTGGTATCATTTTGTTATTACCGTTATATTATCATCATTATATATCATTACATATATTTTTGACAGTAAACAGAAACTATAACGAGCAAAACATATATTCTCCATAAACTGTATACGGTGTGAGACGGTAAACGCTTAACAACAGTGTTTTGACGTTTTCAAAATGGGATTTCAATGTACGGGTATTAATATTTACTATATATTTATAAATTAAATATTGAATACTGATGAAATAAAATGTGTATTTTCATTTTGCATATTTTACGGCAGTGAAACATTTTTTACGTTTTTTACTGTTGTCTAGCGAGACTACTTTCTTCTGAATATCCTCCATTTATTTTTATTTTTTAAATATAAATTGTAAAACACGTATTTCTGTATGTGTGCGGTAAGTACATTGAACTACATGTAATATTAAAATTCGAATTTATATTGTCATTGTCATTAACAATATAACATATCTTTCAGAATGTCCAAACATGATTTCTCCAGTTTAATATCTTAGGAAAAACATATTAAAAAAAAAAACAAAAAAAAAAAACAAAAAAAAACAAAAAACAACAAACAATTCGAGATATAGATGATCTAAATATATTTTTATCTTTTATGTCTGTAGTGAGGATATATTATATCTGTAGTGAGGATATATAATATAATCAGATATTTTCAGGTAAATGAATTAGTACATTGATATATAAAGTTAAGTCAATACATATTGTTTACTTGGGTTTTACGTCGCATCAAACACTTTCCAGCTCTACTAGTAGAGGAAGACCTCAGGTTAATTATTTCTGGCACGAGCGATCACCGATATTCCGTAATCTAGCTGGATAGATTCCTTACATGAAAGAATCCAAAGTACCTGGAAAATGAATAAGACAATGATATAACTTTATTGTAATTAAAGAAGAAGACAATTTAAGCTGCATGCCTCCAGATGAGCCAAATATTCAAAACAATTTTACATGAGTAAAATATACTAAGATTTTTGTAAACGAAATAAAGTACTAATTTACAAGTTTTGAGCGATTTATGACTGATTTTTCTGTATTTATCATCATATTGTTTCTCCGTGACCAACACAATAATGGCTATTTTGCCATATTTTGACCTTTCTTGGTAATTTACGTGGTTAGTAAGTACCGTTTGCAGTGTGTTAATTACTTTTTTACAATTTCATTTTTTTTCATGAAAATCAAAAGAAGGCAAAGAAGTGGTTTTACTAAATTATTATCGTTAGTGGTTATTACTGCAGTTTAGAAAATAATGATATATCATATCTTTCTTGATTGATTAGGAATGTTATTTTTACGTCTTTATTTTGAGCTCTCTGTTCGTCTGTTCGTCTCAAATGGCAGTAATATGACAAACAGTCAGAGTCTACATACTTTTAATCGCAGACAAGCAAACTGCTATCTGAGATGGTCTCTTAAATTGCTGTCTTAACTAACCTTGGTTGTTTCGATTGCAGACGAAGTTTTGTTGTTTTTTGTGCTGTTCTATATACAACTAATACATTGCATGCCGGGTGCATTTCCTGATGAACCTTTCAACTGTAACAGATATGGGGATTATTCTTCACACGACTGGTCGTGTAGACCTGCCGACTTGTTTGATATGCTGGATGACGATAAACTAAAAGACGATGTTGTCACTGGAGACGAATTTCTCCGTGAAGCAGGGGCACGTTGCAGGTAGTATCAATAAATAAAAATGATACCCTAACCACGAGGGTGGAACCCAATATGTATCTCCAAAATTTAGCATCGGTTAAAAGTATGTGTGAATTTCCGCTGCTCCAGATGTGAATCATAACACCAGATGTGACTGTGAAAGTAGGTCAATCGCAGGGTAAGTTTTCAACTTTTAAAACAGTTATATGAATTTCAATCCTTTTTTTTTTTAAAGAAAATCGAAATGTGATTCTACCCTCCTGACTCTCCCCTATATTACCCATTTTTGTTTTGGATTTCTATGCAGTCTTCATCGAGATATTATTTTCGTCGTGGGTTCTGGTGTGTCCAAAACGTGCAATGTGTATGAAGAAAATGTTACGAAATCTCACTTAAGACCGATGCTTTACATTCAGACAAACCCTGATTTAAACATTTATTGAGATTTGGCTACATGGTTTATGACAACGAAGGAATTGCTGCTCAAAATTGCATTTGAGCTCCATATGTTTTGAGGAGATCCATATGTGCATAATATAAAAAAACAGCAACATAATTACGGATCACTTTCATAAAGCAATCTATAAGTTATTCCTTTGTGAATCATCTATTATCCGAAATAGACACATTTTCACGAGACGAGCTTAAATAACATAGTATCCATATAGAAATTCCTTTTCAACGTATGTCTGAGTAAAACATGACCAAAAAGTTATTATTTCTTGCAGGAAATGCAATTCACAAGAAAGGCACTATTTTCATTTTAAATATTCATTTGTTTTTGCGTTATTTACGCGAACTAGAGTAGAATAATTCTTACGGGACAATTCTGATGAGGAGGTTTACTTGTATATCACTGCATGGTAAACCTGTAAGCAAATATTTTTGTCCGTGAGTGAACATCTATTAAATTCAGTTATCCCGTGGTGCGGTGATTTTTCTTTGATACTCCTCAACTGTTACACGCCAGTAGCATGCTCTTTTGACAATAACAGACAGTGGGATATCTCAGATAACGCACATTTCTTTAGAAAAAGTGTGCGTAATTTCAAATAAAGCACAGTTATGTAAGTACACTTGGTTGGTGTATAACTGTGACCGTAGAAAAAAACACAAGGGTCACTGGAGCGTACCAAAATTAAGGCTGCACCCCTCTCCCCGAAAAAAAACCCCAAAAAACAAAAGAAAACACGAATATATTCAGATTGGGGATAGGTAATGTGTTAATGGTTTTAGTCTAGTGCATACTTACTTGTTTATAAACCTTTTAATCCGTTTTCCTAAATGTCATTTGCGCAAAGATGTACTGCCTCTAAGAATTTTTAATGAGTAGCATTACTTGCAATATTACCAATTTTAAGTCCCCCCTCCCCCCCCCCCCAAAAAAAAAAAGAAATCAATACTCGTTATTAATTGATTTATTCATATAAATTTAAAAATCTATCTTTTGGCATGTCATTAAAAATGTTGATGAAACAGTGGTTAGCGTATTAGTGGCGCGTCCCAATTATTTACAGCAATGTTTTTCTGTGTCTTTGATCATCCAACCAATCAGGAACACCCAACATACTTCCGATTGGCGTTTATGGTGTAGGGTTTACAATGTCGGTCATTGACACGTTACATAAAAAGTGACCGAGGTTCCGAGTGGGGGATTTAAATTATAAAAGGGAAGCCAAATAGAAATTGAAATTTTATGTTTATTAAAATTCTTATTTCTGTTTATCATGCTATAAAGCATTTATAATATATCGAATTCGACTATTATGTAGAAACATCATGGCCTGGCGGCATACAGACAATGTTCTCGGCCCATATTCTATAAAGAAAACCTTCGATGTCGCAACAGGCCAAGATATTTCCACATAACAGTCTTGTCGCTATAACTAAAACTTGTGGAACCTTAAAGTGATAAATATAATTATAAATGTAAAACTATTATAGAAACATATTATTTGAGACGAAAGTTTTACAAAGTTCAATACTTTCAGTTTGACTTGTAAAAGTTCCATATCCTTTATTAGTGAATTGTTTAGCATACGAGTACTATCCGCTCTGCGTCAACATTTTCATGTACTCGGACCTTTTAGTATTTCTAATGCTAGCGTAAGCTAGTAAGCCCTGTCATTGTGACGATCAAACACACTTATGTTACTATTGAACTTTACATTGGCTATTTAATGATTATATGGAAGTGATCAGTAGTTTTGTAGATGGTTTTCTATATCACTTATGGATCTCTTTTGCACATATGGAGCTCAAATGATTTTTTTGAGCAGCAATTCCTTCGTTTGTACCCAAATCTCAATAAATGTTTAAATCAGGATTTGTCTGAATGTTAAGCATCGGTCTGTAGTGAGTTTTCGTAAAATCTCTGTTTTTTTATTCCGTTTAGTGACATTTTCCTCATACACATTGCACGTTTTGGACACACCAGAACCCACGACGGAAAGAATATCTCGATGAAGAGATGAAGACTGCATAGAAATCCAAAACAAAAATGGGCAATATAGAGGAGAGTCAGGAGGGTAGAATCACATTTCGATTTTCTTAAAAAAAAAAAGATTGAATTTTATTAAAAAGTTGAAAACTTACCAGGCGATTGACCTAATTTCACAGTCACATCTGGTGTTATGCTTCACATCTGGAGCAGCGGAAATTCACATGTATTTTTTACCGATGCTCATTTTTGAGATACATATGGGGTTCCACCCCCGTGCTAACAACATTAACGGGGTGACGTTTTACAATTATACAAAACGATCATTGATTTTAGTAAATATAAATCTTTATGTTATTTTTCTATCGTCGGTAATTATCTTGTTGTGCGCAGTAACCGTTAAAACATTTCATTTTTCAAGCGAGCGCGACGTCTCAATGAATCATATTCATAACAGTATTATATGTCTATTTGTTCGCTTGTTTTACAAAAATCGCACACCATTTAGAAAGAAAACAACACTACAAGTATATAACTTTATCAGAAGATTTTTCAGATATTTAGATGTTATAAACACAAATTCTTTTTACAAACTGAGCAGTTTTGGAATATCTTCAAACGTAGTTTTATTAATGCTATTATTGCTATATTGTTGTTTATCAAGTACTCAAAACTATTAGACACGTAGTTTCAAAGATCTAGCAAAGAATAATCATACTAATTTACAAGTTACACACTTACAGTAACGAGACACTTCTACCTTCCTACATCAACTGTATGGGGACATTGTCTGTGGAATGTCCCAAACAGTTTGCCGATGTGGCTGATTCGTTAAGAAACAAGATAAGCATGTTTTGTGACGGCAATGACGTCTCTGAATGGCTCCAGTTAGGTTTGCAATTACTGATCACTTTGTAGACTATAACTTACATTTTATAATTTCTCGTTATAGCGTCTCCTAATATAGCACACTATAGAACAGTTAAATGGTTCAATTTCCAATAAACTAGTATGTTAGATGAATGTATCATCCTTAAAATAGCCATACTTAAATTCAAGAAATATTTTCATATACATTTACATACATACGAAAATATACTGCGAATTGATAAAATTGTGTAGGAAACGGTTTATTATAACTCTGTTATATCTTCAACATGACTTTTACGCATGTGATTTTTAAAAATATGTAGTATCACAAATACTGATTTTGAACAATGTATAATCCTTATTTAGCGATGAACAGCGGGTTTTCATTTAATCTGAATTGCTCTGCTGTTATGGATGAGGTATTTACGGAGTGTGTGAAAGAACTGGACATTTATAAGAAAATCCCAGGACCCAATTTAACCTTTGCAGTGGCAGCAGAAATCCTTCCACCGTGCGTACAATTATGTTAAAAACATGAAATATTTTAACTATGTCAAATTAAAGATGATCAAATTGCAGCCTAAATACCTTCAAATATAATTATTTCAATTAAATAACTATAAAACGGTAAAAATAACATATTTATTTGTCTTTTACAGGCGATTACACACAGTTAGAATATATAACTTTTAGTACGCATATTTAAGCAGAACTTACTCCCTGTGCCCTGTCCAGTGCCCTGCTGGGTGCATTGCTGACGGTGATTCTGTGGTGCTCGGTTACGACTGAGGCTATGTTCTGTAAACTCTAATTACTTTGTTGCTCTATGTTCTCATGTTTTGTTAGTACATATACAATAACTTTTTTGTTCAAATACAAGTGTGTGATTTGACACAAACTTTCTCATGATGAAAGGTGCAAACTCTTTGTATTTGTTTAATAAATATGCGTTATCTTCACATGTTTCACCAGTTTTCTTAATATTGTAAGTTAAAGTTTCAAGTTTGTCTTGAAGAACACTATTCATATTATTAATGTATATCATTGAAGGATTATTAGCGAGTTATTTCACTGTTCAAAGAGGCAACTGGAACTTGCACCAACTCAGAGTAACGGATGTGACAGCTCTTGGCGAAATATTCTGCTTAACCTATGGTTACAAATGCAGATTTTCGGGAGCATTTATAGCAATTTGTCTCATGAAGATGCGCAAGAACTTCTGGTAAATTTGAACTAAATGAACATTTAACGTTTAAGGATACACGAATAGTCATAAATTAGTTCGGTCACAATTCTCATAAGAAAATGATGTTTGTAATGGTAATGAAAACTCCTCGTACAGCACCTTTGACTAATATTCCGATTTCTCTGTAAAATATTTAAAAAGACGTGACACTGAAAGTGATTGCCAGTGAAATGAATAGTAAATACAAATTTATAATTTACTAACGCAAGAAACCTTGGATTATATAGCAGAAATTTAATGGTGTCTGCATTAAAGTTATATATTTGAGTATTTATATTTTTAAAGTTAAATTAAGATGATAGTATCTAGATTGTTGGAAAGAAGAGTCTAAAAATAGTATCATTTATAAAGAATTGTTCTGTACCGCTACCTTAAGTTACATGTTCATTAACAATGCCTTCACCACTTTAACAGCAGATTATGGAAACTTAATTTACAATTCATGGCATTTATTTATAACTATTG